CTGCTCCAGCGCTGGAGCAGGTGGGCAGCGCAGAGTTTCCAAGCAGTTGGCAGGGGAAAAGTGCAGCACGGACTGGGGAAGAAGCGATTGCTATTGTTTGCAAATGACATGCAAATGAGCATCATTAGGCTTTGCAAGCACAAGAGACAGGAGGACTCGGTGTTACTTGCCGTTAACATTATTTCAAAGGGGGGCCGTGGCTGCTCCAGCGCTGGAGCAGGTGGGCAGCGCAGAGTTTCCAAGCAGTTGGCAGGGGAAAAGTGCAGCACGGACTGGGGAAGAAGCGATTGCTATTGTTTGCAAATGACATGCAAATGAGCATCATTAGGCTTTGCAAGCACAAGAGACAGGAGGACTCGGTGTTACTTGCCGTTAACATTATTTCAAAGGGGGGCCGTGGAGCGGGACCAGTTGAATTTATACATGTCAGTTTCACCCTTAATGGATTGTTCACTTTCAGTCCTTTGGGTACGATGTCCATCTTCTTGCACTTGGATAGAAAGATGATGTCTGTCTGTATCTGTGCGAGTTTCTTCATATGGAATGGAAATCCATCAACCATATGAAGAAACTCGCACAGATACAGACAGACACCAGTTTCACCCTTAGTCACTCACAGTAACTACAGGAATAACTTATTTACCCCCACAGATGTTCTCTCTCCTAACTCGGCTACCTCCTGAAGCGCCTTTCTCTCCCCCTGTGTAGCTACTCAGCCTCCAAACGCAGTGTCGCCTATGGACCCTATTCCAATAACAATTGCTCCCTGATTTCCCCATTTTAATTTAGATCCATATTTCTACCCGGATCCCATGGATGGGTAGATGGGGAATTAAGTTTGTTTTTCCGTTGTGCTTTCCTTTACGGTATATTTTCCTCTCGCTCTGGAAATAAAACAGTCCAGCAAAAACCTGGTCAATGTTTTATGAACCCTCTCTTCCCTGCAAACTGTTTCCTACTAGCAGCTATTACACTTTCCAGTCCTCCTGACTGTGCTTGTTGGAAACGTTTGCGATGCATATTGCAGCCTAGCTCCTTTTTTGTTGTCTAAAAGCCACTCGCCGCGGGAGAGCAGTGCAAATAAAGTAATCTTCAACAAGCAAGCAAGATCATCTCTCTCGTTATGCTGTGTGCAGTGTTATTACTGTGCGGCTGCTGCAGCTCTGTGGTTCCAAGCGCTTTGCATATTTGCATGTATTTAAATGTTAAGACAAACGATGCTTCGCAAAACAGGGACAAACAACTAAAAGAAGAAAAAACGTAAATAACAAATAGACTAGTAGCACCTTTAAAGACTAACAAAGCATGTAGATGGTATCATGAGCTTCCGTGGGCGCAACCCACTTCTTCAGATGACTGGAATGTTAGAAATCCAGATCCAAGAATAAATAGGGGAAGGGGAGGAGGGAGGAAAAAAAGAGAAAAAAGAATTAAACTAATTCCACAAGCCAAATACACAGGGAAGGATTGGAACTTAACTTCATTTACAAGTTTAATTCTTATGCAAATAGTGTGAACAGAGACATCTGCTGGCTTGCACACTACCTTCCACATCTCAATGACTTAGCACCTCCATTGTTGGGTTGGTTGGTTAATTGTTCTTATCAGCCTCTTGTAACTATTTGAACCATATACTCTCTCTCTCTCTCTCTCTCTCTCTCTCCCCTGCTTCTTCTTTCCCCCTCCTTTTTTTCTCTTCCTCCCCCTTCCTTATTTATTTTTGGATCTGGACTTCTAACACTCCAGTCATCTGAAGAAGTGGGTTGCACCCATGAAAGTTCATGATACCATCTACATGATTTGTTAGACTAGTAGCACCTTAAAGACTATTTGTTGTTCTTTAAGTTGCTCCTGTTACAGACTAATTCGGCTAACTTGTTCTTTCAGTTGCTCCTGTTACAGACTAACTCGGCTAACCCTTGGAAGCTTTTAAAAGAAGAAAGATGCTGAGATCAGAATGTGACTTGTAATGCGGGCGTGTCTCCACTAGAGGGTGGCAGAGGGCGCTTTGTGCCTCCTTTTTCCTGGGAACAATGTAAGTGTATTAAGAGGGCATAGGTCAAAAAACACCTAAGTCAAGAGATGTTAGGTGAGCCTATGGAACCCCTCAAACGCAGTCATCCACGCAGGCGATGAGAAAGAATCATCAGTTGCCAAAAGACAAAGTTAGCAAGAAATTAAAAAGTATGTGAAACAAAATTGCCCCAAGCCAGGCCAGAACCACAAGCCACAAAAAAAACCTGAGCTCCATTCATTGGCATGTGAAAGGGTGGGGAGATTTTAAAGTGTTAAAGGGGTTGGGGGAGCGAGCACAAGGGAGCTCCTGATGAATCGGCAAGTTTGCAGTCAAGGCTTTTAGGGCAGTTCTCCAGCCGGTTGGTGCCCCTGGGCCACATTGCTGCATTTGCAGGGCTTATGTGGCCTTTGAGTTACTAAGCTCTTTTTGAAAATGTACACACAACACGTATATGAACAGGAGCGGTGCCACTGAAGTCAGCTGCTTCAGACTCATACGATTGAAGTTCTCCAGTTAACAAAGTTGATTCCAGTGGTGCCAAGCAAGTTCGGGGTCCAGCATGCTAGGGGCTGTACAAACACAGGGGCTGTGTCTACACTGGAATGAATTTCCGGAAATGCTTAAAACGGAATACTATTCCGTTTTCAGTTTTTCCGGAAAAGGAGCGTCTACATTGGCAGGCTGCTTTTCCAGAAAAGCCCTTTTTCCGGAAAAGCGTCTGTGGCCAATGTAGATATTCAATATGAGCTTCTGAATCTCCAACAAAGTGGTATTTACTCCAGACAGGGGGAAACTACAGGAATCCCATTAGCCCAATATGTAGAAACATCTGCTGGGCATTGAGCACCTTACTGAGGCCTGGTCTAAACTAGGAGTTTAACTCAAATTTAGCCACATAAGGTTCATTTTCTAAAAAATTAGTCCGCACTACCAAGCTCATTCCAATTACTTTAAGGGCGGCTGAAGCACCAGTACTCATGGGCTACGTCTACATTGGCCCCTATTACGGAATAGGGATGCAAATGTAGCACTTTGGAAGAGGCAAATGCGAGGGGATTTAAATATCCCCCACGGGTTTTGCTTTTTCATGGCTGCCGCTTTTTTCCGGCTTGTAGATAAGCTGGAGAAAAGCGCCAGTCTGGACGCGATCCTCCGGAAAATAAGAGGAAAGTAGGAATAAGAGATCCTCCGGAAAAGAGCTTATTTTCCGGAGGATCGTGTCCAGACTGGCGCTTTTTTCCGGCTTATCTACAAGCTGGAAAAAAGCGGCAGCCATGAAAATGCAAATCCCGCGGGGGATATTTAAATCCCCCACAGATTTGCCTATTCCAAAGTGCTACATTTGCATCCCTATTACGGAATAGGGGCCAATGTAGATGTAGCCCCAGGGAAATAGATAGGTCTGTCTAGAAAGCATTTTGAATCTAAACAGACGAGAAAGGGATAGAACCTACTTGCTTGCTTAAGTACCCCATAGTTTCAGGACCCCTGTGGGGATGTATTACTCCTTGTTGAACTGGCACATTATGGGTGTTTTGCCACTATGGGGCAGGCCATTTCTGGAGCAGTTCTTGGCTGGGGCGGGGTTTACAGTTCAGGGTTAGTAGGATGTCTTTTTCTTGGTCAAGAGGGAGCTAAGTTCTGAAGCAGGTGAGCAAGGCAGGTTGTGGAAGCCTCATCACTGGAAAGTTTTAAGAACGAACTGGACAAACACCTGTCAGGGATGGTCTCATGATATTTAATCCCAGCTCAGTGCAGGAGAACGGACCAGACCACCTCTTGAGGCCTCCAGGAATGTGCAGCTGGTTGGGAAGCCATGTTGTCTGGCTGAAAAGGCTGAGCACACCCTGGATAACTTCTGCTAACCATGCTTAGGTGGGATCGGCCAGGGCTAGGGAGCTCTCAGTTCAGGGCCCTCTCACCCACTGGTGAAGCAAATCCAACCGTGTTATATTTCAGGGTATGGTTCCCAGGCTCCCAGTTTTCCAGTTCCCAGGCTTTTCCAGCCACCTGTTTCCACACCTGTGATTGGCACTACCCCCAAAAGGGGGGAGCAGCTGTCCTGACGGGGCCCAGGCTAGCAGCACGTGTGGGAGGAGATGATTTTGTGAGATTTCTGCCTGGGAGGGGGTGTGTGTGTGTGTGTGTGTGTGTGTGTGTGTGTGTAAACAAACTGGTGGGAGTTCATGCAGTATAAACAGTGAGCAGGGTGTTGCATGAGGGTGAAATTCATTCCAGGGCAGAAGCCCTGCAAATGACTTTCCGATCAGCAGGGTGTTACATGAGGGTGAAATTCATTCCAGGGCAGAAGCCCTGCAAATGACTTTCCGATCACGTCAGTCCCATATTTCTTGTATTTCCTAGATTTTAATGCCAAAAGGGACCATGATGATCAGCTCATCTGATCTGTGTAGCACAGGCCAGAGACTCTCAACCAATAATTTTTGGATCTAGCCCATAACATCTCTTTGAGCTAGAGTGGCCCTTGTAAAAAGCCATCCATTCTTGATTTAAAGGCGTTATGATGGGGGAATCCACCACCTTGCAAGGTAAGTGGCTCCAGTAGTTAATTACCCTTCTCCTTAAAAATCTGTGCCTCATTTCTACTCTGCATTTGTTCCTAAAATCCAGGGCTGTGTTCCTCTCAGGCATAATGACTGAGCTTGTCTAAATGGCCCTCTCCTCCCAAAATCAATGGGATTTTG